CCGCCCCTTCCGGCCCCGGCCGCGGCTCGCGCGAGGCCTGAGGCGCCCCCTGCAGGCCACGCGCCCCGTGCCTGCCTGCAGCTGCGGCCGCCCGCGTTGGTGGAAAGGGACAGTGTCCACGCCCGGCCTGAATCGGATATGAGGGGATGGGCCGGGGATCTGCCGGGCGGCACATCCCGAGGAGGAGGCGCGAGAAGAGTCCCTCCGGTGCAGGAAGAGAAATCACAGCCTCCGTTTAAGATGGTATCTTAAAGGAGGCGTCACTAACGTTTAATACTGAGATTGGCGGCTCCATCACGCTGCCCTGCTGTCCCCGCTGGTTTGCTTTCAGCCAGCTGCTGAGCTTTGCATTTAACACTGGAGTTAGCTTCGAGTTTTAATGAAAATCACATTCGTGGCTTAAAGCAGCTTAAAGAGGCAAGGGAAGAAACCTCCAGGTCAGAGACAACACTGAAAACACCAGTACAAGCAGTGACAGGTGAGGCCTTCCTCTACATTTCGAGGTAAAAATAATCAGATCTGATAGTCTGTTCCCCAAACGAGAAATCAAGACAGTTATTTGAAATGTGATATACAGCAAGTCAGCTAGTAACAGAATATTACTATCTATGTATCGGGGGCGGGGGGATACAGAGCTTGGAGACCCCCCACTCTGGAGTCGGGGGCTGTCCCTTCTACCTGAACAGAGCCTTTGGTTTCTCTAAAGCATTTTCACCGCTCTCCTTGAATACTAATCTTCAATCCTAGGGAAGTAGGCTGGGTGGGGAAAGTTTGAATAAATCAAGGCCTAAGGGGGAGATAAGTCACTAGTTGCAGGTTGCAAAACCAACCTGCCACAGTTGGGGTCAGTTTAGCTGCAGCTGAACCAGGCAAGCCCCCACCCTCTTCAGGAGGGCAGCCCCCTCTGGCAGGACCTGCTTCTCCTCTGCCACCACAAAGGTAGGAGAGCCACTGGTCCCTTGATTGAGTTCTAGCTCTCACAAGCTGTGAGCCAGTACGAACCCAAGTACATCTGGGGCTGGCATGGAGAAACAGTTTTGTGAATAAAGGAACAGAAAATAGTTGGCTCTTAGTAGAACTAATACAATTTCTTTGCTTGGCTACATTTTACTCAGGCTTCAGAATCTTCTGCTAGGTTCATCTGTGCACTTTGTAAAGTCTAGTTTTAGCAAAGAGCCCTGCTAAGTCAGTTTAGCAAAAACCCCCATCCTTGGTATCTGATCAACATCTGATCAGGTTCCTCGCCCTCCACCATCCTCAGGTGATATCTGATCCCCCTGGCTTGTCTTCAGCAAGAATCCTGTTAGGTTGGTTTATCCAGAATCCCCCTTACCCCTTCTTCCTCTCAGTGATCTTCCATCCACTGACCACTCCCCCGCCACTTGGCTATAAATTCCCACTTGTCCATGCTGAATTCAGGGTCAAGCCCACTCTCTCTCCCCAACTGCGAGACCCCACTGCAGTGGTCCCTATGCCTACCATGGTCCTGAATAACGTTTCTTACTGTGCTTTAACAAGTATCACTGAATAATCTTATCTTTAAAATAACCACCCCTGCACATTTCTCTCCTTAAAACCTTATAGCCAGTTGAAAAATGAGGTCTGAAGAGCGGGAAACCTGTGTGCCTGTGTGAAAAGCTTGAAGACAGACCTCTCCCCTCACCAAGCAGGTAGCAAACCCCCTCCCACCCTACTGTGTGATGTGCATGCATGGAGTGAACACCTGAAGCATTTGGGTTTTAGTTTTTAAACAGATAAAATTCTGTTTATCGTGTGGGGTAATGTATCTGTCAATTAGCTAGATTAACCATTCTACAATGTATATATGAGGGTACTTCAAGAAGTTTATGGAAAAACAGAAACTTTCCATGAACTTTAAGACCCCTCGTGTACCTCAAAACATCATGTTGAACTCCTGAAACATTTGGATGTCGAGCTCAGGGGGCTGGATTTCGGCCTGAGGCCTGGGAGCAGCAGCAGGCCAGCACAGGCACTCAGGCGAGGGAGGGAAACGGGGAGAGGCACCTGTGAGTGTCAGCACCGCCCAGGCCAGAGCAGAGGGTCAACACCTGGCAGGTGTGCGGCTCAGGGGACCGAGGCTTGGACTGGCTACATGGCTTTCTTCTATGCCGCCCTCACCCAAGATAATGGAGGAGTCTTGTCTGGGCTCATGGGCAGATGCCCAGCAGATATTGTGAAGGGGAGAAAAGTTTAAGTTTTGATATGCTTTATTTGTGGGTGAGAGGTCATCCTGGAGGGGGTAAGGGGTGGGACAGGGAGGAACACCAGGGATTCAAGTGTTTGTGTGTCTGCGGTCTTTAAAGCTGTTTCTGCAAGCTGTGGAGACCATATTGAGAGGAAAGAATGGGTAATAAGAGAGAAACTTTGAGATGAAGAGAGGAAAAGTTAAACAAATTCTTACTCAAATGAAACCCATGACCACTTTTTAAATGTCCTACAGAATCACTGGGTAAGATAAATAAGGTTGTTTCAATGCCAAAGATGGGAAAGATAATAAAAGAAGTCTTGGTTTTCTTCATTTGAGGAGAGGATTACCAGGGTGGAAATGGATAAAAATGGGTAAGTGACTACTTACTACTAAGTCTCTGGTGCGTCCTCATAACCAAGCCACATAAGTACCCCCCCCCCCATTTCCTCACCTCCCAGCTGTAGCACCATTTCTTCTTGCTTTTCCCAAAGTAGGTAACTAGGAGGGTCCCCGCTCCAGCCCTGTGCTCCCAGAACCGGGCTGGTGCCCAAGGAGACTATAAAATGACTGTTCTGAGGAGCTTGTGGCAGCAGCCTCCACTAGCTTGGTGACAAGTGTCAGAGCCCAAGGCCCAGGCCCACCAATCCCATCGAGGCTCCTCTCACGAGGTCTGCCTCAGCTGGGAAATGCAAGGAGAAGGGGAGTGGTTCTCTTGTTCCTCTGTGCCTGTGGGAGGACCTGCCTCTCCACGGTCCCACCCAGCCAGGGATTAGAGGACAAGTCCTGGGCAGGGGTGTAGACACCACTGGGAGGGCCTGAACCCCACATGCCCACCAAGCGACTTAGCCGACTTGCTCTGACCCTCCCGCCGTTCACCAGCAGAGGGCGGAGGCAGTTAGCACCATTCAGCCTCAAGGATGAATGAGAGGAGCCACCAAATGAAAGAGCTCCTGGGAAATTGCAGCCACCGGGATGGACGGGAGCCAGCTGCAGAGACCTCAGTCCCTGCCCTCATCTGGAGAAGCTTCTGCAACAGAAGTTGCCAACTCCCAGGGAAGAGAAAGAACACTCTGGCCTTGACTTGAGCCCAGAGAAAGAGGAACCGCAAAACCTCAGTAACCCAGCACAACAGGACAGCAAGCCATGGGCCCGCGTCCCACCTCTGTGACAAGGCAGCAGGCAAACCTGCTGGGCCAGGGGCAGGGAGCCCACAGCTCACTGTCACCAAGGCAAAATGACACACACATCTGAAAAAGAGACAGCAGGTGACCACAAGAGTATTCTTTTTTAAAAAAAAGATGAGCAAATATATACACAAAATACTGTCAGTCTCTCCTGGGCCAACACAGCAGCCATCACAATCTCTCTCCTCCTTTCTGAGCTTTCCTCCCGCAGGTGAAGCATGCTTCTGGCGCAGCCTACCATAGTGGTCTCTGGGAAGCACATGCCACCTTTTCTGTACGGCTCCTATCCCAGTCACCACAGCTGGACGTTGTCCAGGCCCTGGACAGTCTTTCCCTGCATATTCGCTGCATGGGCAGGGACTGGAAGTGGAGTGTCCCACTTTCCTGTCCTATATCTACCCCCCCACCCCGCACCCAGGATAATACTGCTTCATGGGTGTCCCTCAGGGCAGTTCCATCAGAGTTTGTGGGCCAGGAGGGTGGTCAGCTTGATCTTGCCATCCATGGAGGCGGTGAGGCAGGTCCCACAGTCCATGGCGGTGCTCCAGTCCACAGTGACCACAGGGGCCCGGTGGCCACCCAGGTTCAAGCAGCTCTCCAGAACCTTTTCATCACCACCCAGCTGCAAGAGGACAGGAGAGAGAAGGGGGTGTCAGCAAACGCCACTTACAAACACGTCCTCTTTCTCCACTTTTGGTGGTCAAACTGCCTCAAACCTGGGGACTTCCACCCAATCTGAGGTCACACAGGCCCACCTTTCCAGAAGTCTGTTTAACTTCCTAGACCAGGAAATACCTTCACTTTCCCAACTTCAGTTAGTCCATGTTAAGTGGGAAACAAGTCCCAGTGAAGCTCCTTAAGAGATGGAGTTTTCTCTGCTGCCTTGAACTTGCTGTGAGCTAGTGCCTCCTGCACCCACCCCAGTCGTTCTTACAGCATCACTTGTCACCACCTGACATTTGGTCATGTGTCTACTTATTTGTTTAAGGTTCGCTTCCATCCCGGAGAATGCACTCTCTTGCATTGTGGCCAGCCTGCCGTCCCCAAACAGTGCCAGGCATAGGTAGTCCTGGATGAATGTAGAGACACAGCTGTCCTCTGGCCCTGCAGCACTAGCCATCCACAAGCACGTGCACATGGGTGAAGAGTCAGATGCTGAGAGGGAAGGGAGAGACCAGGAGAAAACTGAATTGCTATCGATACTACCATACGTAAAGTCCATGGGCAAGAGACATGAGGTATTCAGCCTTCCAGGAGAAAACACTTATAAAAATCATAAATTAAGTTGCAAAAAATGTGCTCTAAAGTTCTGAATATTCCTTAAGTAATGAGACCTCATTGACATTTTAAAAATCACACAGAGTAAAATCTTTCAAACCATTAATTGGTTATAGAGCAAGTCTGACTGCAAATCATATAAACTGACCAGGGCAAAATGACAAAGACCAGCATGATTAAAAATAAAATACATATGCGCACACACACAGCCATTCAGACAGCAGAGCACAGCCTGCCTGAAACTCAACTAAACAAACCTTTAGAGAATAAAAGCAGGCTTGTAAACTGAAACCTTTGTACAGTATCTCCACTGGGAGATATGCGGTTAGCAGAAATTATGGAGCTAATTTTTAAAGAGAGGGCAAGAGCCACCATGCTCTGTAGAAAAGGGACACCCTACTGAGGACAGCTCCAGATTTCACTGCGTATGCTTCAGGTCACCGTCTACAGGCCCAGCACCCACCTCTGCCCATGCAGGGCCCCAGGCCGGCCTTCCTCCCCCTCTACCGAGCTGCTCCTCCTTTTTCTAAAGCCTCTGACCCAAGGGTCTGCCCTGAGGACTCAGCCTCCACCCAGCCTCCTCCTCTCACTGCACTGTTCCCCCAGTGTTGGTGCTGGGTCTCTTTCTACTTGCAGTGTGAGCCCTGGGAAAGCAGAGATCCCAGTTTGCTTCTCCTTGGTACACTCCACAGCACCTAGAACAAGGCCTGGCACACGATTCTGTCCAAAACACATGCTGTTGACCGATCAATGAGCTAAGGATGACACACTGAGAATATTCCACCTTGTATGACTCTTCATATCTGCAGACTCAACACCACCATCAGGCAAATAGTTAAAAATTACCACCACGGGGCCGGCCTGGTGGCGCACTGCTACAGTGCGCCGCTTGGGAGTGCGGCGGCGCTCC